GTGCCATTGGTCATCATCCAAACTGCAAAATATTTAAAATGCAAACATATCCAAGGTTTTAGGGGGATAGTTATTTGAGTGAGATTTGAGTAGTTGGACGCAATGGTTAAATATGGAAAGTTTTAACCGAATTCCTTATGACAAATCTATTAGTGTTGTGAAGCTCTGGAGATAGATAGATACAGCATATACATTATTTGAATGTCAACGATATAAGAAAGAGAGATCAATATCTTGGATCATACATTAGAGTAGATGAATGGCCTATGGGAATCTTACATTACAACAAAATATTCCAAATGTGATCAGCACCAAAATAGTACATAGAACACAGCTCTTTATCTGAACAAAACATTACAACTGAGAATTGCATATATAGATCAGGTTGGGTAATTGTAGGGGTGACAATTTGATTTTCATTTCATTTTAGTTCTGCCTTTTATTCTATTTTGTAACACATAGTCTTTTTTATTTTTATTCTGATTAGCCTAATCAATACATTCTTATTAGGATTAATTTCTCTCTACAGAACTTTTGTTTTGGCTTTGCTAATTTGCCAAAACCAGGAGCAAAGAGGTTAAGGCCAGACATAATTATTATTAAAACAAGTATGCTCCACATCAAAAGGCAACAAATAAGTAGTGAATTTACTATGGTAAAAGTGAAGGGGGGAAAGGGAAGATTTAAATCCAGGAAATGTTCTCTGTTTATGGTTGCTATATCATGTTGTAGCCAATAATCTTTGTTATTAGGGCTTCTTTGTTTGTTCATAGTAAAAACAACTTATATATCTAAGCTTTGTTCTTGCTTTTTCCATTACTATCAGTGCTACCACTACTACTAATATTGCCACTACTACTCTTGAGTGCTGGCTGACCTTCTAGAGAGAGATTTATTGCTATGACTTGCATAAAGCTCTGGCTAGATGGTTGATTCATATGAAATTGTTAAACATCAAAACAACTTTTGCATATCTTGGACCAATGCCCTACATGAGATTTAAACCAATTACATGCTTTTATTTTGTATCCCACAACAGCGTTGAACATGGAAACCACAAAATTTGCATTATCATCCTAGTTCATCTCGACAAATGTTATCAGACTATGCTTTATTCCCAAAAAGTATCTAGCATATAAATAGTTGTCAATCAACAAGAAAGGGGGTCAAAATTAGTGATGTACAAAACTGTCACTCTGCTTTCTTAATTTTTTAAAATATAAATAAACTTTCCATTACATTTATAAAGAACTTCATGTTTTCTAGCAAGTAAAAAATAAACCTGTCAGCCCAGCCCATCTATACCAGCCAAGTTCAATATTTACAACACCGTGGGATCAAGTTATATTTACCTTATCATGGGGCTGTGAAAAGCAAAGACGGGGAACCAGAATTCAGCACCCATATGTTTAAGAATTCAGTATTCAAATCCGTCTGGCTGTCTGCACAAATTTATTTTATTACTTCCTGATCTGATTATTTGTTCCATTCGTAAGACTCTATAAATCTATAAATTTAAATTTTTATACATTTATAAGGAATTTACCATTTTGCTCAGTTCTTATGTAAAAAATAATAAATCCCAAAATTGAACTTATTCCCATTTCTGATATTGGGCTCTTGCTAGGCTTGGAACTTGGAAGGAATATAGAGAACCACCACTGAAAGTTATTTCGTGGTCTGAACTAATTGCTATTTCTGGGCCTAAACAGACAATCATAAGGGAACCTGGTGGTTAGATTCATTGGAGCATCACTGGTTTTAGCCTTAAAGTTTTTAGATTTTCTTAAGTCCCACCTTTATTTTTATGAATAATTTAAGGTGGCGAACACAACTTAATACTCTTTCCTCCTATTTGTCATTTTTCCTTGCCCTCAAGTAAAATAACTTGAGTCAGCCTTGAAAATGAGGCAAATCAAAATGGTGCTCCTTCACTTTTTCCTCCAAACTTAAATTGGAAAAATGTAGAGTGCAATAAAATTAGAATTGACAAATATTTTCATTGAAGATACTATCAGAAAATGTACATACTGATGGGAATTTATCAGCTTTTCATCTCATGTGTTCTAAGCTTTATTGTATTCCCCACAGCCTTTTCAGATCATTAAATACCATTTACTACATCTAAAATTATTATAAGAAAGTTTTCCTGCCAGAACATACAAGAAGCCTTTGTAGGATCATAATTCTTTTGAGAAGGAAGAGTTGTTAACAATCCCCTAAATTATTTCCCCAATAGTTTTTTTCTGTTTATTCCTTTGCAGATTGATAGGTCATGATTGCATTTGCTGCCCATTAGGATCCAGAGAACACAACAGTTTATATGATTTCTTTTTGAACTGTGGATATTTCTAAGTTTTGACTCCAAATAATATCAACAACAGAGAGTAAAGGGGTATATGGCAAGCCGCCCAGGAAAAAGCAAGCCGAATAGACTTGGGAATTGGACACAAAGACAATAAGCCTTCAAGCCAGTCTTCATTAAATAGTTTTATATGCATTGGAGATGAATTATGGTTTAATATATATGCTACATGGAGACTTTACATAAATCAAAAAAATATGCAATGTCTACATTCAGTTTACCGTATGCAATTCTGCTCCTTTTCCAAAAAAAAAGGATAGCTCCAATGGCTAATGAGTGAGAACACTGTGATTATGAAGAACAAGTAATGTATATTTTTAGAACACATTTATATGTTGAATTGTAAAAGAGAAATTCTATTTTCTCTTAAGTCTACTCTATAGAACTTGTGGTCATCCATGAAACTGAATGTAGGATTTCTCAGTTTCTTAGCATTACTTCACAGAAAATGCTTGCTGTGACATATTGTAACAAACAACTGCACTAGCTTTCGTAGTCCTCTTTCAAATAATACACTCACAGTGCATTAACCAATGAATGATATTGATTATAGTAACAATTTAATATAAGGAAGCCTATGTTTAACTGCACAATAATGTAATGTTATTGTAGAAAAGAACACTTAGAATAGCTGAATATTTCATTTATTGGAGTTTTTATTAAATTTTTCTAAAATTAGCAAATTTGGTTTTTTTTATTGCCCTAATATTCTGCTATTAATTTGCACATTTGAGACTAGTAATCCTCCATGTTTTGTTGGTAGAGAATAACCATTCCTTTTATGGATCAAGAAATATATTATTTCCATTACTAAATTATGAGGAATCAGTTTTTAGAGTAAGTTCTAAATTAAATTTTGGAATGACAAAGGGGAAATTGTTGTCAACTAAACTACACAAACACATCTATGATCACATTGAGAACCGATTTTGACTCTGAAAATTCTTTTTTTTTAAAGAAATCCCTCCAAATAATATAATCTTATGAATAAATGATTCCGTCATTCGTTTGGCATTTTCAGTACATATTTTGAACTTTGGTAAAAGAAAGGAAAGCAGATTCTGGTTTGAAATTAAAGACTAATGGTCATTAATACAGAAACATGGGATAAAACTTCCTGATAGATAATATTTTTGGTAAAAATGTTTTTAATAAACAGTGCCTAGGATTCAATGTTTTTTAAACTATCCTATCCAGTTGTACAACACCATCATGGCAGGATTATCGGATTAAAACTTTTGTAGATTAAAATAAGCTCCATTACATTATGTGATTATGAGCTAATAAGGGGATTTCATTTTAGGGCCAGGTAAGGATTCCCCTTCAAAAATATTTGGGAGAGGCACTAAAAAAAAATATTGAAGTGCAGTAAGGTATGTTTCTTCAAAATACTAAGATCTTAAAACAATGAAGCAATTTTCCACGGTGACATCCTTGTAGTCAAATGGATTAATTCAAAATGTAATACTATTCTAGGATACAAACAGATTATCACACCTGCAAATTCACAAATTATTATCTTAAAAGGTCTCTGGATCTAGATTCACAGATCATAATCATAATCTGGTTTAGCTCTTTGAGCGACTGCTTGTGAATTTATGTAACCTAATTGCCTGAGATAGTATAATTAAATATGTGTTGAATGAAATCAAGAATATTGATTACCCAATTCATTCCATTCCTTTTATGTCATATCTCAAAGGTGCTTCTCAAAAGACAACTGAACTTTCTAGTTTTTCTTTGAAGACATTTTGCTTCTCATCCAAGAAGCTGAAGAGCTGAAGAAGCTTCTTGGATGAGAAGCGAAACGTCTTCAAACAAGTCCAGTTGCCTCTTGAAAAAGCACCTTTGGGACAACCATGACTTGGATGACTGAGAATCTCCACAGACTTTTATGTCATAGTTCACTAAATAATTCATTGATAGATTGGTCTGATATATATATGTTGAGGCATAAACGTGACTTATCTTTAGTTTTATGTGCTATACAAAATCAGTCACTATTTGTTATTGAATAATGGTTCATACCTTACCATATTGTGTCGGGACTATCATAAACGCTCGCTTTCTCTCTCTCCCCTCTCCATCACTAAACGCCCGTATTTCTTTTAATCCCTATGGAATAAGGGTATTATTTGAAGCTCAAGCAGGCTCCTTTCAGACGCCACTTCTGAGCTTGGGGCTCAGATTAGATCGTCTTCCGACCACCCTCTTGATCCAAAAATCCTCCACCTCCATTACCTAGGAGTTATCATGATTAAACAGGAGCTTACTTTTAGCTAGCCATCGCTAACACAGCCTCCATCGATATTTTTTTTAAAGTGACGTCCACCCTCCATGACAGGACATGCTGTTTGGGACCAAAAGGGAAAAAAAAAAAGAGCGAAACTTTTTAAGTAATGGAAAAAACGCAAACGCGGCACAGTCCCCCCACCCCCAACACCGCCTCTACTTAGTTTTCAAACTAATTAACTGTGGACTCTCAGCTCTCACGTGCGTGGGGGGAGGGGAGAGCTTCCCCAACCGGACGCTGTACCGCAAGGCACGACGGGTAGTGTTCATTGGTTACCGTTGCTAGGGCCGGCCTTTTGTCCGCTGGCTTGTTTCTTGGCCACGGAGAACTTGATTCGCGGAGATGGTGAAGCAGACGATCCAGATTTTTGCCCGGGTGAAACCCTTGGGCAAGAGGCAGACCCCCGGGGTAGGTGAAGGACAGAACCCATCAGGCCGGGCCGGACTCGTTGTTGGGGAGAAAACAGTGGGTGAGAGAGCCAGGCCCGAAGCTCCGAAATATTGTCTCAAAGGTGCTTTAAAAGCCATGATCAGGATGGGTGAAAATCTCCATAGACACCCCGAAATACTGAAAAAAACAGAGAGACCGCGCGAGGATTAGAACAGGGTTCTTTAAGCTTGGCATGCTTAAAATGTGTGGACTTCATCTGCCAGAGTTTTCCAACCAGCATGACCTAAGGTGAAATCTGCACGTCAGAATGTCAGGAATACAGTATTTGAGTGGAGTGCACCTTGTGATGGATGAGATGAGGGAAAGCTTTTAACAGATAACAGATGATCAGAGTTGGAAGGGACCTTTCAGGTCATCTAGTCCACACACACCCCGCCCAAGTGGGAGACCTTCACCATTTCTGACAAATGGCAGTCCAGTGTAGAGGGTGGTGGAGAAGATAAACAAGACGCAACACAGGACTTGGGTAGCTCTTCCCCAGGAAGAGGAGGACCTGGCTGTTTTGGAAAAACTAAGTGGCTAAATTTGATGCTGGGCTGCAGGCAAGCTCAGATGCCCCTGTTACTTTAATTATTTTTTACATCCCTCTTTCGACTCTGGTGAGCTCTCAGGGAGGCTTAACAATATGAACCAACTCTAAAAATAATAATTTTTAAAAATCAGCTAAAACTGAGTAAGTGCTACAATAATTTCCCAAGTGAAAGCAACGTGAATGAGGTTATTTAGAAATTGCCTAAATGTTGAGAAGCCAAACACACGTTCCAATTAACTGTTTTTGTCTTGGTATTCTAAAACCTGAATCTCTTAATAGGAAAAAAAAAAGCTTTTATTGCTGCCTGTTCAAATGGTAGGCCCGGAAAAGATTGCTAAATGCAATCAGATATCGCTGCTGTTGTTTTTAATCCATCAAGAGCTTTGTTAAAGGGTTATAAAACATTTCATTTAAAAAAGCATGTTTGGAAATGTGGCTTTTGTTATTTAGTCTTCCCATTTATTTGTGAAATGATAGGAGGAAATAACATCTCTATAGTTATAAATATTCCATCTTTCTTTTCTACCAGTTTTATTATTGCTTACTACCTGGAAAAAAAAGGGGGGGATACAGGACTTAAGTTCATAACAAATACTGAAGGTCATCAAATTAGAAATACTTTAAAGAGACATAGATTCTGTACACATTTTGCTGCTGTGAACCTATGGCTGGGATTCTGAAGTGTGATGAAATGGTATTACTTTGGTTTCTATAACTTCGATAGGTAGGAAGGTTTGTTATTTAACTTTTCTTTAGCCTTACATTCAAAATTGCTTGCCCTACATAAATTAAATTGAGTCTAAATAAAATAAATGTTGGAATCTTATTCATAGTTACTCAAAATTATATACTACTGAAATGCAGTGATTACTTCTAGAAAATATCAAATTTTACTGGAAATGATATGGAATAGTATGCATTTAACTCATTCCTATATTTTAGGCATTATTTTACCTAGAGTTAAATCTCTTGTATACCTGTTATGAGAATTGCTTGCATATCTATTCCTATTAAAAATTATCCAATCTAAACAAGACTAAACCATGGAATGTTTACATTAATTAATAGAAATATTTTCAAAAGGTTACATGTATTTTGTAGATATATTCAGTTGATGAAATTGAGACATCAGCATTTGGTCTGGAGATTATTGTTCCACGAGATTTGTCAGATGGATTTGTCAATAACAAACGAGAAAGCTATAAATTTAAGTAAGTAACTTTAATACTTTGGTTGTTTGCACATTATTATAAAATGCTTAATCATTTTATCATATAGTTCCAACTTTTTGTTTTATTTATTAAATTTGTCACCCATCTCATTTCGAAACTACTTACTGTTTTTATTTATGAATGTTTGAAATATTGTTTTACATTTCTAAAACCTTCAAATGTTATGTAGTTTAAATTTTACTCTATGTACAAAGTTGATATCCCACCAAACCATTTTACATAAAAAGTTTACTGAATATTACTGAATATTACTGAATATTACATATTTATGTTGTTTATAACAAGAAAATCAATTCACATTTCTACTTCTGAATGAATAAAATAGAATAAAATCATTACAAGTAGTCCTCGACTTATGGCTGGACTCCAAAAATAGGACTTATTACCCAGATTTGAAGTTCCAATGCCCACCCACCCATCCTCCCCCATGATCACAATTTGGGCACTTGGCAACCTGTTTGCAGCCCCCCTGCAGTCACTTGATGGCAATTTACATTGTTTTTGCTGAAAGCCAATGTTTACTAATTGTTTCTGTCAAAACCACGCCATAGCAAACAATGGGTTTGCTTAACAACTGTAGCATTTGCTTTGTGTCTCTGGTGTTTGCTTAATAACCAATGCAAAAAAGACCATAAAATTGGGCATGGTCACATGCTGATGTGCTTTATATAACTTACAACTGAAATTATGGACTCCATTTCAGTTGTAAATTAAGGAATACCTATAAACGAAGTCTGCTCAGTAGAGTAGTGTGGCCTCCTGTCAGAAATGGACTGTTTTGTCAATTTTGATACAAATCACAGGAGATACTTCATCTGTGACCAACTGAAAACCATTTTTCTCTTTCATCAATCCATGGTAGCCCTTCAGATATTTGTCAATGGCTAACATCTTACTTGACTTTTCTGAAGACTACTTTCTTCAGAAGTTCAATTCCTTTAATTTTTTTCTTACAGGTCATGCTTCTGATTATGTTGCCTTCCTATAAATATGTTCCAAATAGTGCTACATACCCAACAACAAACTTTTAACATCTTTATTAATAGATATCATAAAGTTCCTTCATAAAGTTTCTGTTACAGCATTTTAAAACTTTCTTAAAGTAACTATATTCAGATTGTTCTTGTTTTTTCTTCCAATTCAATGTCAGTATTATGATTGATGATCATGATGAAGCAACATTATAATGCTTACAGCTTTGACAAAACAGAACAGATTGTGAAAAGCTATCTTTTACTGTCCAATCTAATGTATCTTTATTGGAAAATAAAGTTGATGGATTTGGATATGAAATGTGTTTATGTGTAGCCCGCTTTGTACATCTAACAGTGGTATGGAAATTACTATTGGAACATATTTTTTCTTCAATATGCTACTTTCCTTCCCAGAATTCTCTTGGACAGGGTGTGATGCTCTTTGATGTCCAAGGACTAGAGACACCACAGCATAGGAAATCTGTACAAAATATTTGATTGCAACAATCACCTTTCCCAACAACAGGCTATTTATTATTCTCTAGGCCAACTCCACCCTTTTGGGTTTTGCAAGGTATTGTTGCCACATAAGTATGTCTGTAATACTCCTTTAATACTTATTCTTTTACTATACTTAATTCAAACTAAAGTCTCAAAGTCTTTACAAAATAACACGCAGTTTTTGCCTTTTCCCAAACATTCTTGCATTAATTGGGATGAAGTGCTGTTTCAGTTTGGTTGTTCCTCTTCTAGTTGTTATTGGGCTCCTAGAAAAACACAGGCAGGAATCCCACCAGGATAAGTCTTTTTGCCTTCTTATAATAGCTGCCAATCTCTGCTTCCCAGCCTTCACCTTTCCTGCTACACTGTGCACCCTCTCCTACTCTGTCTTAACATTTACTTTTGTAAGCTCAAAAGACTGAGGCTGCCTCTGGACGTCAATGTGTGTGTTAAAATACCAGGGTGTGGCACAGTTAGCCAGGCAGCTGGAAGACCAGCTTGAATGCCTATGAGTAAAGTTCTGAGGAAATGGAGAAATGGATGAATGCCTGAGGAGAAGTGGGGAGGAGAAGCTTTCTGCATGAGTACAGCTAATTTTGAAAAGAGCAGACAACCCCAATTTCACTCCCTCACAGAGGAGGAGGTAGAAAACATTCAGAGAAAATTTAGGGATAAGGAAGGTGAGTTAAATAAGAGGAAGAACATGTTTCACTGAACAAGCAGAAGTCTGTTTTGTTAATAATATTAAATACTGATTTTTAAAGTATGAGGCATCAATATTAGTAGCTTAGAAATGGACTTCTAACCAGGTAGTGGATAACTTTTTGTATGCATGCATGCACGCATGCACGTATAAATGTATGTATGAATGTATTTATTTATTTATTTAATGTACCCATAAAAATATGGATGACCTATAATTCCTTAATAGGTAATTGGGATGAAAAGCAAACAAAACAGGTGGTATTCAGTAGGTTCTGACCGGTTCTGGAGAATCGGTAGCAGAAATTTTGAGTAGTTTGGAGAACTGGCAAATACCACCTCTGACTGGAGATTTTACAGTATCCTTCCCCTGCCACATCCTCCAAGCCATGACCACAGAACCAGTAGTAAAAAAAAATTGAATCCCACCACTGAAACAGAAATACATTACTTTTACACACACAAACACACACCAGTGAATTTTCACCCACACCAGTGAATTATAATAATACTAAACAGAGGGTCATGATTAAAAACAAAATCAACTCAATATTTGGAATCATAACCCAGCTTTCCTGGCTTGAAAAAAACAATAAAAGAAGTTTCAAGCAGTTTTCTGAAGACTATCAGGACCCATAGCATACCAAGGGAGGGGAGAGATTAAATTTCAGACATAGTTCCATGGCCATGAATATGGCAATTTCTAATTGAAGGAAGGCAATTTCTAATTGAACACCCTGCACAGGGGTCTTCCTGCATAGCCCACATATCTCCAGCCCACAGTGATATTTGTATATTCAGATTCATTCCCCTCATAGCCGCCGCCTCCCCTATTTCACTACAACCATCAGTGAAAATTGAATTATTTTCACCTGGTTCTATGACAGGAAAAAAGAGATATATGGCTCATTCTTTCCTCCTAGAAAATAAAATTAATTTTGATTTTATTTTCATTTGTTTTATATGGAAAGAAAAAGGTTCTGTGAACATCATATTGGTGTTATAATTTTAATATAAGTATTGTCATCTATTCCTCTTTCCCTCTTCTTTCTTACCTTCCCAATTAACTTTAAAAAATTCTTTTTCAGCACTTCTAGTAAAATGGAGTAGGAGCTGCAGGTGCCTAGTGATTAAATAAACGCAGTTAGTCCTTAACGTAGCACAGGACTCTTTTGTCCACTACAGTGGATCAACATAATGCTTTTAAGTCATTTGCACTAGAACAAAATTGGTTCTTTTAATGGTGGGAGAGTAGAGAGAGAGTTAAAACATGTATTTAGAAGAACTGTTTATAGAGGTGCTAAAACATCAATAATTTATTAATGTTAGATTATAGAAATAAGGTATTATGGACTTTGAAAGTATTTGACTTGTTGTTAAAGTAAGTTCCTTAATAGTTGCTTTTCTCTTCCAGAGAAGAAAACTGGAAATAGTTTGCACTGTTTATATATTCTGTTTTATTTTTGTGTTTCTTAAACATGTTCATGTGTGGGCCTTTGGAAATGTTGATCCCCATGACAGTAGTAAAATACAGTTTGCTTTTTCTAAGCAGTAACATTTATCACAATATTTTATTGTACACATTTTGTAAGCAGTAGTGTTTAAAGTCCTTTGTGGATTCAGTAGCACAATAACAGTGTGGAAAAAGCTACAGGAGAAAATTGTTCAGGATTATGTAAAGCAATGATGTAAACATTGATTTATTTTTAATTTTTTTTAAAGAAGGAAATGAATCCAGTATTGTTTTAAGATTTTGCATGACCAATTATTTATAATTTGCAGATTTCAGAAAGTATTTGATCAGGAATCAAAACAAGATGACATTTTTGAAACTATTGCCAAGCCAGTTGCAGAATGGTGAGTTTGATTTTTTTTAATGACCCATTCACCTTTTTAATCAATAAAACCAGTTTGTGTTAATGAACATTTTTTTAAAAAAATTGGATGGTAGTGTTCATTGAATAGTTTCTCTTATTCCTTTTTTAGTAAATATTTGATAGCAAGGGGCAGATGAGATTCAAAATGATATGCATTTTGTTAAAAATAACAATAAATAGTCTGATAGAGTCTAAACTGAATAAAGCAAGATTCACTAGTGAAACAAACTACAATATAGTATAGTGTATTGTAGTACATAAAACAGTAGTATGTACATGAGAGCCAGTTTGGTGTAGTAGAGACTGTGCACAAAACTGGCTGGGAAATTTTGGGCCAGTTATTCTCTCAGCCCTAGGAAGAAGCAATGTTAAACTTCTGAAAATGTTGCTAAGAAATCTACATATATTTGTCCAGACAGTTATCAAGAGTCAAGGCTGACTTGAAAAAAATGTATGTGTTTTAATCAAGTATGGGTTAGTGTTGTAAATTCCGTATTCAAAAAAGGTTTTGAAAATATTAGGTTTATGTATTGGAAGTGTGCAAAAAGATAAATTCACATTTTCAAAGCACACTTACAATTAAAGAAAATGGGTCTTCATACAATGTGCAATTAATGGAAAGTAAGTATATCTATCCATTATGCTTACTTCTCATTTTCAGACAATATTCCCTTGAATACAGATTTTGAGATCAAAAAAGGAAAGTATGTTTAACTTACAGAGTTTGTAGCTAGTTTTGGTCAGATATAAGATTATGTACAAGAATGGACTTTTATCTGTTGATATACATAATTTCTTATAGCATTTTATAATATTTTATCTTTGTACTTTGATAAGCCTGTATAAGTTTATATGGAGTGTCCTGAGCATTGTTTGATCTAGGATGAAACAACTGGTGCATCTTGCAGACCTTAGAACTTTTCTGTAAGGTCTCCAAACTCTTTTCTTTCACTTTTCCTACAGCCTATTTTCTAAAAATTTTAGTCTTTGGATTTGCACTTTTTATTATAGCTGTCACCTCTTTTCATATTGCCATTCGTATAATATGTACGGTAGACCTCAACTTAAAACAGTTCATTTAGTGACTATTCAAAGTTACAGTTGCACTGAAAAATAATCAGGTGTTCTAGTACAGGGGTCGCCAACCTTTTGGACCTCAGGGACCACCAAACTCATAATTTTAGATCCCAGGGACCACTAACTGGTTCTGTGGGCATGGCCTAATTTGTGGGTGTGGCTTGGTGGTCATGTGATTGGCTGGGCATGGCTTGTATGTAAATATTATAAATATTTATATAAATATTGAATTTTTTTATAAAAAAGAGCAACTTTTACCCAAAATCAGGCAAAGCAGGCAGGCAGATTGAGTTTCTCACAGAATCACAGATTCATTCAGAGATCTATCTGCCATTGGCTAGCTCAGTCTGTCACATAAAATTTGCTTGCAAGCAAACTCACAAAATTAACTCACAACATACCATGCATATAAATATTGATTTTTTTATAAAAAAAAGAGCAACTTTTATCCAAAATCAGGCAAAGCAGGCAGATTGAGTTGCTCACAGAATCATTCATTGATCTATCTATCTGCCATCAGCTAGCTCAGTCTCTCAAATTTGCTTGCCCTGAGTCTGCACTGAATTTGCTTGCAAGCAAACCTTCAGTCCTAAAGGAGGTTCAGCTGTGCTTAGCTAGAAAGCAAGAAATCCAACCATTTCCTGCTTCCTAGCTAATCTAAATCTCCCGGCAGAGCAGAACAGATGGTGGTTGGAAAAAGGAAAAATAGCAACTTAGCAGACAAGTTTGCTGGGTAAGGAATGAGTGGGCGGGAAGGGTTCCCACAGGTCATGTGGGCTGAGCAGCCTTGTGTTTCTGTGCAGCCTGGATTAATTGCTTTGGGGGGATGCTCTGAGGATGAGATTTCTCTGTGGCCCACCAAAATTTTCTCATGGCCCACCAGTGGGCCATGGCCCACCGGTTGGCAACCGCTGTTCTAGTACATTTATTAGCTTTTAATATGCTCTTTTTGGCACAATCTAACTGCATATAGCAGGATACAGCCAGGACCTGCTATAGTCAATGAAATAAAGATTAAATTTCTTATATTCTTTTGTTCTCTCCATTATCTATCTTATAAGAACATCAATTCAAGGTTTACCCTATTTCTATTTTTCAGTGGCTAACTAGATGTCTCTGTGCTGCTTATGGACAGGAGATAGAGACATACCTCTCTCCTGCCATTGTTCACATACAACTCATGGGAGGCATGCTGTTCTCAAATCTGCAATAATACTGAGTCTTCAGACCTGTTAATCTAACATTTAAATTGCTTAAATTAGTTTATATCTTGCTTACCTGGTAGTTTCTTTTGACAGCATCCTGAGGAAACCTAAAAAAGCTGTATAAAGTATAAATAGGCACATTAATTATAACTTTTCTGATGACATAAGGATTGTTTATATATGCTCCTCCACCTCTTTGCTTACCCAAATATCTGAGGTAATTTTATCATACAAAGATAGAGCCTTTTTGGTCCAGAACATCCTTGTTGGATGTGGGTACGCTACAGATGTGTGGACTTCAAATCTCAGAATGCTCAGCAATGGTCATTTTGCCATAGAATTCTAAGAATTTAAATTCATAAAACTATAAGATGCCCAAATTAGGGAAAGCAATCTAAGCACATTATTCTTCTCAGTCTATGAAGTAAAAAATGACAGTATGAATAAACTGAATACAAGTTTGGATGTAATTCAGAAACTATTATGCTAAATTTATATTTAGTATAATCTTAATTAAGAATTATACAAATTGCATTTCAAATCACACTGATACCATTAGGATAGAACTAAAATGAATTTTATGATTTTTGCTTTTTATATCAACAGATAACAATTCAAAGACCATGGCCTTCTCTGAAGAGCTTTGAATGCCTAGAGACAGAAATCCCATTTCATTCTATGACATTTGGATATTTTCTATTCTTATGACATATATTTTGTCAAATGAAGGAGATAGAAATCACTGGAATATGCTTCTGATAGTATTTTTTTCCACACGATCATTTGCAAGTGCACTTTGATAAACATCTCTGCCCAATCTTTTTATCATGTGCAGATTACATGTTTCTTGAAGCATAAGCAATTTATATTGCAATCAGAAGTCAAGCTAGTTGTTGATATGGACAGCATTTTCTTTTGTTTTCCTGTGGATTGAGTAAAGCGTATTCAGAACAAAGCTGTTTTGGGCTCAGTAAGAATGATAAATGGATAGCTTAAACTTCATTTGAAATCATTTTAATTTTTCAGTGAAATTCTTTCTTTTGTACAGTGTTCATATTGAGGGATCCTTGGTGCTTTCTGAGGTTGGTTGTTTTCTTGCAAACATTTCATTATTCAAGCTAGGTCTAGCACTGATGATGTTTACCTAGTTTGGGTAATGAAATGTCTGCAAGAAAACAACCAAGCTCAAAAAGCACCCCCTGATTTCAGCCCTGAGCTATAAATATTCTCCTTTATTCATATTTGAGAATGCAAGGATCCTCTTATATCTAATTCTTCCAAATATCACTTTTCACTCTCTTTGGAGATGCAGTAAACGTGAGTTTGATAGTTCAAGAAAGAACACATACTTTATAAGAACAATGTTGCAACAGCTAGTTCTGAAGTTACATTACTTGTTTCCAAGCTTCTTTTTTATTTATAAAATTGCAGGATGTGTTCACTTGATAGTAATTTTAGTTTTATTGCAACATATCTTGTTATCTCAACAATGCTTTGTAACTACTATTTTAAAATAACATCGCGTACACATATAATTTCAAAATATGTTATTTACAATGCCTTCATATTGCAGTGGTGTTTGCTAATAATACATTTTGGTTGTTTTCATTTATATTCAAATGTGCCAAAATTCCTTGTTAAAATTAATTGTTGCTATTTTGGTATTGTTTAGTTCCTCATGAGGGTTTTTAAGATTACAAAAACAAATTCATTATTAATTTGGCAACTCATCAACTGAACATATTCTTAAAGTGAAAAAAGTATCAGTAAGGGAAGGAGGAGCTTTGCTGATCTATTTCCAGGAAAATGACAAAGCAGAAATGTCAGTGAAGTTTCTCGGTAACATTCCAAAGCTATTTCTTGTATGATCACATGGAAAGTAAATTACAGCAAAATAAATCCACAGCAATAGCAGAACAATAAAAGAAGGAACATATGTGACATTAATTATAGATTTACACTGCTGGCATAAGGCGTTCATTTTTCCTCCTTTTTGTATTTCTTTGAACTTTTTTCTCTGTTGTTGTAATCTATAGTTTGTTTTAATGTTTAAAGTTGCAATTTACTCTGGTTGGGAGTTAAATCCCATTGAACTTACTGTTTCTGTTTGGAATTTCTGAGTTATTTCTCACTAGTACAGGGCTTTTAATTTACTGCCTATTTTAGATCACTTAAATTTTACTAGCCACATATAAAAGGATTCACTAAAGATCAAAAATAGCAATAGCATCTATATACCACTTCACAGTGCTTTCTAAGTGGTTTACAGAGTCAGCATATTGCCCCCAACAATCTGAATCCTCATTTTATTGACTTAGGAAGGATAGCTGGTAAGAATTGAACTGCTAAACTGCAGGCAGCCAGAAGTCAGCAGACGTAGCCTGCAGTACTGCATTCTAACCATTGTGCCACCTGAGACATTATAGGCTTTCTTGAGTGTTTTACGTTGTTTTTCGATGTGCTTTTGAAAAAATTGATCACCAGTTTCTATTTTAGTATTAGTAAATTAGTAAATTGTTACATTCTCCAAACTCAAATCCAAGGATCAGAAGTAGGTTTTGTCACATGAACTTGATCAATCACAACTCACTGAAATGTCAGATACATATTTTTATGTAATTTTAACAGAACTTAAGCATTTTGTTCAGTGAGGAAAATGTAGTTGCATGCGATTTTTTCCACTTTTGTAGTGTTATTG